TAGGGCAACTCTATCAAAAATTCACTCACTCACTTTTAAACTAGTACAGAATCATTAAAGCTCAATGAAATATGCAAAATTATGAATTTAAAATGCAATGGGAACAAACAACTATTCAATTACTGCCGAAGTAAAAAAATCTTTTACAGGATACGTATTCTGAGAAAAAAAAAACATTTCCATATGCTGTATTAATTTTTTTTCTTTATTACTAATCAAATCAAAATTTCTAAAGTATCATAATATATAGATTTACATATAATATTTCCTCTATCTTCTTATAATCTTTAATATTAACAATTGTAAAAATATTAAATAAAAAACTGACAAACTTTATCTTATCAATGTAGTAATATATGACAATTATTTTGAGAATCAAGTCAATCTCAAGAATAAAATAAAAGTAATCAGTTAACACTTTGCCAATACAAAATAATGTACATAATATAAAATTTAAGATTATACATATACTTTACAACAAAATAATTTCTTTCTAAAGTAAAAAAAATATAAAAAATTGTCTAATCAATTTGGTTGTACAAATTAATGTCTTATTGAGAAAAAAAACTGAATAAGTAAATCTATATAACATAATAATTCTGTATAAACAAAAATACAATGCTCGGAAATATTCTAATCATATTACACATCATATACCTATAATTTAACGCGTCAAGAATATGGATTAGTAGGAATTATATCTCGACATTTTCAAATTAAATAATGTACAACAGTAAGTAATATACCCGAGCCAAAACTTTGAAATTTACAAAATAAACACAGCATACATTCCGGTAAAGAGGTCACGTATTCCCGGTACCATCACTCACTAAGCAGCTCTATTAAAGTTAAGTTCAAGTTTATTTTTGATTGTGTAAAAATAGATTTTCCAAAAGTGAATCGCACGATCCACGATTATGTAACCCACAACCACGGCAGAGTAATATAAGCTCAATTAGTAAAAAAAAAAAGATATTATAATTATATATCGTCATTTCGTTAATTCGATTACAAATAAGAATATAAAAAGGTAAACGAAGTAAACCTATTTTTTCTTTTCTGCGATATAACCTCTAAGTTTGCTCATAAAATTATAATTATGTAACGTCGACAGATTTAATCAGGATTGCATTGTGCCACGTGCAGAATGATAGTTCATTCCTTAAAAAATAAAACATCCTAATACACGTTACTAATACGTGGTAACTTGCGAATTGCAAAATTCGACTAACCTGAATATAGCCGTATCAACGACGTAGGAAAACAATTACAACTGATTATTTTGTATTATCTCGTGCACAGAGCAATCATTTAGCTTCGTTCCGCTTGGTTGAAATAAAAGTGCTCGATACCGTCGGTGCTGTCAGCGATTCCTAATTTGCTGAAACAGTTTGTCATTCATCAAACCGGCTGAACCACGGGTATCGCTCGTTCTACGCGACCTAACCTGCAAAACCATATATATATCATATGCTGTCATGAACTTCGTTTTTTTCACTCGCTACCGGAATTAACAGTGCAGTGTGACGATCTTTGACAATTGCGTAAATTATTTGACTGTGCATTCTGATTCCGTATTTGCGACTTCGGGGAATCAAAGTAAAATAATAGGCATTACGAAGGTTTAAAAAGGGAGCAATTAGATCCTGATTAGATCTGCTATTCTGCTCTTTCTCAGCTACACTTTCTACACTTTAATTTAATCTACCTTTCATGAATACACGCGCGCGTTTGTTGTTTGTTTTATTTCAAGTAGAAAAAACTCTGGCATCGGTAAAGACGGTAAATAAAAATAAATTTTCGAGAGTTTCAACTATTATAGTTTTTGAGGTTTTTTTTTGTGTCGAGTGACACGTTTGATATTAACTTTAGGAAATACTGTGAATTTTCTATGGAATATCTTCTTGGGTTTATTGGCACCAAGTGGAATTAGTTTTCTATAAAACAGATTGAAAATTGCAGG